TGCGGTGCCCAGAAGTGCACGCAGTACTCCAACTGCGGTCTGACCAGCGCCCGATAGAGGGGAAGTATCACCTCCTTGGACCTATTCATCATGCATCTGCTGATGCACGATAAAGTGCCATTGGCTTTTTTGATGGCTTCATCACACTGCCGACTCATGTTCATCTTGGAGTCCACTAGGACTCCAAGATCCCTTTCCACTTCCGTGCCACCCAGCAGGTCATTCCCTAGGCTGTAGGTGTGCTGGACATTTTTCCTCCCTAGGTGCAGCACTTTGCATTTCTCCTTGTTGAACTGCATTCTGTTGTTTTCTGCCCACTTGTCTGCTGCTGCTTTTATCTCATGTTTTCACATGATCTACTGGTTCTTAAGAGCTTTCAGAAATCCTCACCAACTTGTCTTTGGCCATTGTTTCTCTGGCTCTACCTTCTTAGGAGGGAGATAAATTATTATTAGTCATCCTAGGGGTACAGCTAGAAGTGACCAGATGTAATTATGAAAAGATTGGATGTAATTGGATACTGGACATATTCCTAATAATTAACTATTTTAAAAGGTGGATTATGACTGTGCCCCACTCTACCCATGTGCATCTTTAGGTGCTGGGCTTTCAAGGCAAAAGGACCCTATTTCATCAGTTCTGGCACATTCGACCGATTGCACAGCACTCTTAGGGCATGTGTAGATGAAACACAGCTGTAGGGGCAGCAAACTCCTCAGATGAGGAGTTTTAGTTCACTGTGCCCAAAGTCATTTAAGGCTCATTACACCGCCATATTTCCTACCGTGGCTGGAATTAATGCGCAATACATTGCCGAGGCATGCAAACACTGATACCGTTAAAGCGGTGCAAAAGCATTTAACCTGCTTTAAAGTGTCGTGCACACATGCCCTTCGTTTCCTCTACACATGGCCTTCACTTCTGAAAATGTAGGTGGTGAAAACAGCCTTCGAAGAAAAGTGGTAAGTAAATTCCTTCAGTTATTTTAACCTGGTTTGGAAAAAGTACTAGAAAATATTTCAAGGGTGAACGATCTTTCAAGTGTTGAGGGACCTGACAGAAAAATGTAACAAGTTTTTTTCTTACTCAGATTTCTGTTATTCTACCTCCATGTTTATGAATGTTCCAGAAGAATGAGAGAGAAGTGCGCAGAGCAGGTTTAAAACAGGAAATGACTGCCATAGTATCTGTTCAAACTAGACCTGATAAAAGCTAGTTGTTTATTATCCAATAAAACAGTCCACTGAGCAAACAAATCATATCAGGAGTGAAAACAAGGCCTCACTAAAATCAGTGGTAAAACTTCCAATTGACTTAATTTGAGCCAGAATTTCAGATACATTTTCTAATCAGACATGAAATCCAGGAAAGTCTCTCCATCTTTTTCTCTCTCATTTTGTTATGGATAGTTATAGGCTTGTGGCTACATGAGACATGCTCAAATATTATAGTTATTAGAAAGGGAACACAGTTACTTCAGAGACCAGTAAATGAAGCTTCCACAAATCTGAGTTGTTCATGCATGTCTGAGGGCAGAATATGGCTATAAGCATCAGGAAAGAGTATCTGTGCAAGAGATCTCTCCTATTTGACCCAGACGAGTGGTTTTCAAATTGTGGTATGGGTAATCCTGGGGCACACAGTACTTTGCCAAGGGGTACACACCTAAATGTTAATAATGGTGGTGGAACTCCTGATTGGTCAACACACACTGAGCGTGTGTATACGTGTGCTTTAATGCACGGTAGCCTATTTTACTGTGCATAAAATGTCACATAAAAATGCTATCACAATAATGTGTAGTAAAATAGGGTACTGTGAATTAAGTGCCACTTAAAAACCATGTGCATTCATCACAGCGCATTAAGGCAGCCTAATGTGCATTTGTTTAGTGCCTCACACTGGAGGTACTAAAATTAATGTACATTAGAAAAAGCACCTTAATGCACGTGTAGATGTGCCCACTGAGTATTGATATTGCCAGGCATTGATGTCAGTGACAACACCAGCCAGTGTCAGGTGTAAAAAGTATGAGCAGTAATATTTTATAAGGAAAGGGGTACATGGCCAAAAAACGTTGAAAAACCCTGATCTCTATTTATTATTATTAGAAATACTGGGGCTTATATCTGCTTGGCAGGTCTTCAAGCTTCAAGAAAAGACAAGGCAATCAGACTGATAAACACTTGAGACATGATTTGATCACTTTATATAGGTACTTAAACATAGAAAAGTTGCTACGTGGTGAGTGTCTTTTTGACCTGCCTAACAAGGGAATAACAAGAACTGATGGCTGGAAGTCAAAGTGAGAAAAATTCAACATGAAAATTGGATACAACCTTGTAGCAGTGCAAGTGATTAAATATTGAAATCACTCACCACAGGAGCTGGTGGGTTCACTAGTGCTTGATGTTTTATAAAAGATACTAGCCAATTGCCTGTCAAGAATGATGGGGAGGGGTGAGGGGTGGGGATGGAGTGCTGCCACCAACCACCCCATGCCGCCGCCGCCACCTCTCAGGAGCCTGGGGGGTGGGAAGCTTGCCCCACTGTCCCCTCTGTCCCCCCTCCACCAGCACCCTGTGCTGCTGCCACCTCCAGTGCCACTGGCCTCACCCCCCCGTCCCCTCCATCTCTGCCATCATGGTGGCACGCCACACTCTGGTTGGTTGTTTCAGTAACCAGTCAGAGTGCTCCAAGAGCATTATAGACAGGCAGACGGACTAAGCCCTTTATTATATAAGATGCTTAGATCCAGTTTTTAGGAGAGATTCCTTGCCCAGGAGAAGTTGGAGGGGGAGGGGGAAGGGGAAAAGGTGGGGGAGAGAGGAAAGAGGAAGAGGGATGTCAGGCTGGATGTTTTCTGTGTCTTTTTTGGCCTTGGAGTCCATGGATCTATGCCCATCTGTTCATTCCCTTCTTGCATGGGCCTTGGGAGAATAGGACCATTTGCATTGCCCTCAAAATATTCATAACACCAGCATCATGCATTAAGCAAACCAGCTGGCGATTTGCTGTAACTGCTATTGCAATGCTGCAATTATTTCATATTGTGTTGTTAGAGGGTCATTTCAAGCTGCAGTTAAAGTTGAATAAAAAAATAAAAAATACATAAATAGCAGTACAATTATACATTCCCAAAAGTTATTAGTGACTAGCAACAGGTATAGAAATATATCCAGGTCTCCTTCTAAATACAGGCTTTCAAAATGAAATAAACCAAGAAAATTCAGTTTGGCTGGTTTATATCAAAACCACTGTGTTATTTGCACAGTTGGCGTTCAATTTTATTGTTTTGTTTGTTTTAGAATCATCCTGTGAAGTAATAAAAGTGATTTTATTTATTCTTTGGTGGCTTCAGTCCAGGTCCCAGTGGACAGGCAGTAGCTTGTAGGACAGTGTGTGAGTCCCAAAATTCAAGATTTATCACTGATAAGATATGGATTCAATATTCATCTGCCTTGAGGGCTGTTGGCTCCTTCTAGTGCCTTTTCCCCTTTCCTTCTCTCTCTTGTTGGTATAGGTAGGGGATGCTGGGGATTTTATTTTTTCCCTTTATTTGCTCTTCCACACAGTTTGAAAATATTCCCAGGAAGTATATTTGAGAGAGTCCAGCCAATCCATCCAGAAATATTGCCTAAGTACCTGTGAGTGTCAGATATACTATTTGATACCTGCCTTTGGTTCCCAAGGCAATCCTGTGATCTTTAGGAGTGGAGTCTAGGAGCCATATCACAAAAGAAAATGGCTGGCCCCTTCTTGTCTATCTTAGTAGACTAGTTCTTAATGGGCCACGTAAACTGTACACTCTGAAGGCAGTGTCTTCCCTTAGCAGAGTTGGGGCACCCTGCCTGGGATGGATATTTGTGGACTGTATCAGACAGGTTCTGTCTATAAGGTGCATCTCTATCCTGCCTTCCACCTATGCTCTTCTTGTTCTGTGGATACAAGTGGAGGGTTCCTGTCTCTAGGGCCATCAGTCAGCCATCCTTTGCCTTCCCTAAAATCTTGTTGATGGGAAAACGCTAAATAACTAAAAAGGCATGGAAGTTGCACATAGTAACATCATAAACTGAGATGTTACTATGTGAAGGGCACAGAGTGAAGGGCACAGTCAGAGAGGTGGTGTGACATGAAACTATGTTCCTCTGTGGCTTTAATGGATCTTTCATTTTATTTCCATTTTAAATAGGCTCCTTTTACAACCCAGTTAGCTCCTCCTCCTCTCTCTTCTCTGTCCATCATTCAGATGAAAAGCTAATGTCCTTATTAGGCAAGCAGGTAATGTCTCAGTTTTATAGCTCCAACCTTTCCACCAGCAAACAAACAAAGCAACCTTTGGCCTCTCTCCTTTTCTGAGTTCTGCTGCTGTTAATTGTTCACAAGCAGAAGTGCCAGCAGGGGCAGATAGAGGTGGGGCAGAGCTGAGGGCAGAGAAGCTGACAAAGGGAAGTAGATAAGGGAGATACAGGGCAGCTGATCACTGGACATACTGCAGGAACCCATTTCAGAAATAACAGCAATATAGCTGTAGGAGGGGAATAGGTATAAACTGAAAAGAATAAAAAGGCAACAAATGTTGGGTCCAGCCTGCTGGCTATTGCTCTTGTGTCTCCAATTGCTGTGGCCGCCTGGAGCAGGCAAGTGCGACAAGGACAACTATGTGATCAATGTGATGCTGCTGAATGATGCACAATATCCATGGATCTTTGAAAATGTACAGCCAGCTGTGGAATGGGGATTGCGTGTGATAGAAGAAGAGCTGCAGAAGGCAGGTAAGGCGATGCTGTGGGTTTCTCTCCCTCTTTAGGGTATCTGGGTCAGACTTCAGGCCTTGGTGTCGTATCAGGCTGTGCTTATGCAAACTGACCCTCAGGTCTGCTCTCAAGCTGTCTGTTTTTACCACATGGATTGAACAAAAACAATTCTCTTTGAAAACAGCAGAGCCCTGGTGGAAAATCTGTACCATAATTTTGAGGGGACAAAAAACCCTTCCTGGCAGAACTGGTCTTAGGGGTGGGCGAAATGGGCAACCACTCAGGGCACTGTGGTCGGGATGGCACCACACACACACACACACACACACACACACACACACACACACACACACACACACACACGAGTAGCCCAGGCACAAAGCAGCACTCTCCCCCCGGCCCACCCCAGCTGATCTCCACCCCAGGCAGGAGGAGTGATGCCCAGCTCAGCCCACCCTCTGCCTCCAGCTGCTGCTCAGGAGGAGCTGGGCTGGGCAGTGTGGGTGGCAGCAGTGGTGCTTGCCCACTTGCCTGCCAGGTGCAATATGTTGCTCTGCCTTCCTGCTGGACTGCGTGCGCCCTGTGCCCCTGCCTGCCTCTGCTGGGAGCAGCGCTGCTGGCTTGGTGGGGGGAAAAGAGGGGAGGAGGGCACCAGTGGTGGGGCACCAGAGGTGGGGACAATGTGGGAGGGAAGAGTGTCAAAATACAGATTTCCCCAGGGCTCCATTTTCCCTCTGCTTCCTGGGTTAATTTCTCAACAAAAATGAGAATTGAGATTGGGAATTGCTTGAACCAGATCACACCAGCCCAATGGTCCATTTAGTTCTGTAACTTGACTCTTATAACAGAATCCTGCACTGGTTCATGCAGTTTGGTCTCATTACTGCATTCAAGGAAGTAAAATATTGAACATCATTGATAATGACAGATGTACCACATGAAGATGATACCCACCTCTCTCTAATAATGCAGCCAGATTTGTAACATTATACCAGTGATTCTCAAGTAGAGTCCCATGGCCCCTTGTGAAATCCTTTTAAGTGTACTGCATGGATGGTGTGCAATAATAACATGGTTAGGTATGCAAATACTTTTACATGATTCACAAGGTAAACCTAGAGATTTAAAATAGGAACCCATAGTGTTAGAAACATTTGACCAGTTGTAGTCTTTCTGAGATCTTGGCAACACAGAATTGTTCTATTACTTTTTCATAGTTAAAAAAAAGAGTGAAAGCTAAGAGCTAGCATTTTCTGAGAGGTGCCTTGAGTCTAAAAAGTTTGAGAACCACTGCACTATACCAAAAAAGAAACATCACCTGATTCTAGCTCAGAGATTGTTAACCAGGGTGCCAGGGCCCCCTGAGATGCTGCAAGGTCCTTTGAAGGATGCCATGAGGTATGAGGAGATAAACTAAGTGTGAGGAGATAAGCAGATAAGCACAGGCTCAGACTTGTCCCTCCCTTCCTATTTCCCTGCCCCTACTGCCCAATCCCACTGAGGGAGATAAGCATGGTAATAAATAAGTTAGTTTTTGAAAAGGGGTGCTGCTCATTTCACAAAAAATTATGGAGGGGTGCCTCCAGTCCATTAGGGGGTGCCTTGATTCTAAAAAAGTTGAGAACCACTGTCCTAGCTTCTGGTTATCTTATGCCCTGATGTGTGAGGATCAAGAACCCTTAAAATTTTCATCATAATTACCATCACTATAGATGGTACTCTTAATTCATTCCAGTACTCAACCTCTTTTTAATAAAATTTAACCACCTGCATCCATAGTAGCCTGTGACAAAAAGGCTTAAGAAAAGTATCTCATTTTCCTCCTTTTGACTATTTTTGTCAAAGACCTTGAAGTCTGTTTTCAAGTATCTTTAAAAATGTGTCTCTAATTATGACCAATACTTGATATCCCAGCAGAAGAGGTTAGCCGTGTGTATTAGAACCCAATGTTCAATCCTATTCCTTCCCTGCCCCACAACCATAGACCCCTCCCCCTCCTTACTCTTCTCCCTCCTCCCCTCCACGGGTGCCCTTTTTTTGATACAGGCAGTCCTCAACTTACAATGTTTCGAGTTACAATGTTTCGAGTTACAATGTTTCGTACTTACAACATTTATAAATTGACACCCTGTTTCAACTTTACAACTCCATTTTCGACTTAACAACACTTGATCCAATGCAATGCCATGCCAGTGAACAAGTTCACTGCATCGCTCATCTCCCTGGAGAACATCTGTCCAAACTTCCTTGGATGCTTTCTTTAAGAAAGCAGACAAGACTTCAGAAAAACCTGCAGCCAAGACTGCAAGTGTCCTTGTTGTGTGAAAGCCCTTTTGAGATTTGTGAGGTGACAATCGTTTTTCTGAGTTTTGTGATAACATTTCCTATTTCCTCTACATTATTCTAAAGGAAAACCTGTGACTCTTAATGCCACTTATAATGGCTTTAACACATCACTGTATGTGTCACGAGGCTGCCCTACCAGCACTTGTGAAGGTGTGGAGATTGTCAAGCAACTCTATGTAAGTACCAGGTTGTTTTCTTAAGGCATTGATATTTCACGTAGTTAATCCAAGTGGGGATGAGGGTGCTGGCTGGTACCAACTAGAATGTGAGCTGGCAAAGTACAGACTTCACACACACACACACACACACACACACACACACACACACACACACACACACACACACACACACTCTCTCTCACTGGCATGCCATTTCCAATTTAGATCAGCCCTGAATACCAGTCCTGTTGCCTGCCTACATATATCAGCACTGATTTGGTGAGACATTTAAATCCCCCCTACAGCTGTAGTGCCCAGGTCTGGTGATGCATGTAGTCTCTTCTGCTGTTCCAGACCTCAACAGAGGCCACTCTGCAGGCTATACTTTTCCAGATACCATTCTGCCATTTGCCTTTTCTTATTCTGTCATCGCTATATGGTCCTTGCTCTATATCCTCTACCCCTTCCTTCATTCCACAGCCCCTTTTTTCACTCCATGCTTGCTTTATGATACTCTGCCTTCAGTCTGTGGCACTGCTATTTCTCATGGTTCATCAAAGTGAGGGCTGAAGGTTCTGGCTTCTCACATGCCATAGTATCCCCACCTTGAACTGGTCACGTGCATTTCAGTCCTCATTCTACACACCTCACGTTAGCCCCTTTCTTCAAATTTACACTCTCCTTGATCACTGTCCACCTTTACTATTGCTAATCTTGCTTGATCTTTTGCAGAATACTGGCACACTTGGCTGCATTGTCCTGGGACCGACTTGCACTTATGCCACATACCAGATGGTCTCGTAAGTATTAGAAAAAATATTACTGCCTTGCATGGAGATCAAATATTGAATAACTTTACTTTCTGTTTAACAGACCCGCATAGCCCTTAGCTGTTTGTGGGTCACACCGTTTGCCTGACTCAGTTAGGGTTTATAACAAGACCCTGGCCTTTTATCTTTCAAAGAGGACAGAACTCCCCTGAAAAGTTAATTGGTACAATTCCTTTAGTAGGCAGGAGAAGAGTGGTGATAATAAATAAAAATCAGTCTGAAAACCTGAGTTCTGCAGACTACCTCTTCAGCACTCCTGGAGGGAGACAGAGCTATTAACTTGAGAAACATAGGAATCGTTGTTCTCAGTCAAATTGGTCATCCATCTCAGTGAGCATCCTGTCGCTGACAGTGGCCAATACTAGATACTCCAGAGGAAATTGCAATAGGCAGTTCTGGTGTGCCCAGGGGAATTTTCCTCCTTATCCCTCCGAAATTTAGAGGGTGGCTCACTTCCTGAAGCTTGACACTTTATAGCCCTTACAAAACTTGTTTATTTAGTGCATTTTCTATGTGATATACTGTTGCAAATATTATTCTCCATATCAAAATTTTAAGGGCTCTTGTTTCAATTTTCCTAAACTCTTGGTCACAGTGATATCTTCTCACAATAAATGCCACAGTCTATTTGTTCAGTGTATGAAAAAATGTTTCTTTTAATCAGTTTTGAATTTATTATCTTCCAATTCTATTAAACACCCATGTGTTCTTTTACCGGGAAACAGGGTGAACATAATGTCTGGTCCACCTCCTGTTTACCAGTCACTATTCTGTATGTTTTAGTAATCTCACCCACAGTTTCTTACACTCTAAGGTAAAGTGTCCCAATTTTTTCAGTCTCTCTAACCCAAGAGTTTTTCCAAGGCCTTAATAATTCTCATTGACTCGCTCATCTCTTACCATCTTCTGTTTCTGCTTTTTGTAGCGGAGTGATTGGAATTGAACATAGTATGCCCGAGCAATACAAAATTATGATACCTACTTTTTATATAGCAATGTTATATTCTTTTCTACACTGGGTTGCATCTCGTTCCTTATTCAACCTCATATTTTATTTGCTATTCTGACCTCTGGTGCATACTGAACAGAAACACTGAGCTGTTAATGAATTGGTTAGGTCCTGTACTCCTTTGTCGGTAAAGTTAATTCAGAACATAGTAAAGTACATGAATAGTGGAAGTTTACCCACAGCACTGAAGAACACTAGCCATTATACAACTGGTTGGTCCTACATGCAACAGAACAGATTTGGGAATTAAAACCAGATTCTTTACCTAGCACCATATTAAGCCAGCCTTAGTAAATTTCCATTTTAGTGATTACAAATTTTCTGAACTTATTGGACCAGTGTCTCCCCAGCTCTTTAAATTCCTTTACTTTTTCATTCCTTTACACTATATCAACAATAAACTACTTATCTTTAAAACAATAATAATGGCCTTTATCTGGAGATAAAGTCCTGTATTACTCACTATCATAGCAATTCCAAGAATTCTAACTGCCCTGTTTGTCATTGCAAAGGTTTCTATGGTGTGTAAAACATCCCACTAAATGAGTTGCCAAGATTTTCAAGTGTAGTGCAGTAGGAGTGTAACATGAGAGAAAGTGCCTCTATCCATTGCAACCACCCCATGCAGAAAAAAATAGCGGTTTCACAAATTCACTCGGGTAGAGACAAAACATGGCAAACCTCTGTCAACACTGCTATTTTCCTTTCCTCAAAATAAAATGTGGTAGAAATACAAGCCTTTCCATGGTTCATAGATTCATGGATGTTGGGGTCGGAAGGGACCTCAACAGATCATCGAGTCTGACCCCCTGCCTGGGCAGGAAACCAGATGCCTATCCAGCCTTCTCTTAAGGACCCCCAAGGAAGGGGAGAGCACCACCTCCCTTGGAAGCCTGTTCCAAATTCTGGCCACCCTTACCGTGAAGAAATTCTCCTGATGTCTAGCCTAAATCTGTTCTCTGTCAGTTTGTGACTGCTGTTCCTTGTTACCCCAAGAGGTGCCCTGGTGAACAGAGCATCTCTGATTCCTTGCTGTGCCCCCCCTAATGAATTTGTAGGCAGCCACAAGATCACCTCTCAGGCTTCTCTTGCGGAGGCTGAAGAGGTCCAGGTCCCTTAGTCATGCATTGATGGAATAAATATTTTATTCAGATTAAAAGTGTAAGTATTATCTTTGCCTGATTTTCCTCCTCCACCCAATTATTTTCAATTGATATTAAACATCAAGTGTTTTGGTCAGCAGGTACATCAGTTCATGAGTAGTCCTTTCCATCATAGCATGAATTCATAAATAAGATTGGCATGATAAAAATAATTCACAATGGCAGGATGCTAATTAGTAATATAATGAAAACCTTTATGTTTCATAAGGGACACTCAACATTTCACAATGGATAAAGTGGATGGAACAAGGCTTTATCGTGAAGAAAGTGGTTATTCCAGTTGAGTTCCCTAGTAGTAAACGATGTGGTAAACTTGAAAAAATTGGTGTAGGCACATAAAACTATTACAAGAAAGCAGCTCTATTTCTACTCCTGAACACAGCATTCTTGGTACCACCAGGATTTTCATGTAGGAAGGTGTCGAGTCAATCCACTATTCCAACCCAAAATGGTTCATAACATAGTATTCTCAACGATATACATACTGGGTCCATCCTGATGGTCTGAAAAGGGTTACTTCATGAATTTATAGGGATAAGGTTTGTCAAAGGCACTGAGAATCTCCCCTACAGATTGGGGTGCTGCAGATGAAAGGTTTCTGTGTGGGGAGGCATATATTTGTGTCTAATCTTGAATGATTATAGAAACCTTCCCTTTCCAGGGTTAGCAGTCCAGGTTAGGAATATTAATATTTAACTGAACATTTATCCTGTCCTTCTTTCAGATTTAGCTTGTTGTAAAACAAAGTTAAGACACAAAGTACAAAAGGGCTTGCAAGATGAATCCAACAGTAGCTATCCTGACATGATACCAATTCACTTGGCAAACATACTGAGGACATGTCCTCTCCTCTTTCCCCTTAGAGTCGACACAATATTGAGCCTTCCTCTGATTTCGGCAGGGAGCTTTGGGCTCTCATGTGACTACAAAGCCAACCTAACTCGAATCTTGACCCCAGCCAGAAAGTTGACCTATTTCCTTCTTCATTTCTGGCATGAATTTGAGTTGCCATTTAAAACCAGAGCCTGGGAAACTGCTTACCTCTATAAGAAGAATTTGAACACTGAAGACTGCTTCTGGTAAGAACCATTCCTATATTGTTCCTTGCTGCTGTCCTAAAAATGTCAACCTCAGCTATGGCCTACTTCTTCCAGGATGCCTTTGGATTTCCTCCTCTTTCTCACTCTCTGAATGGCTTTCATGGAAATATGACAAGGAAAAGACAAATTGTGCCACCATCCTTGCCAAAGCTAGTATATTACTACATCACCTTCCCTAGTATTACGTTCAGTTTACTTCTATGTATTCCCAAGTTACAGACTTCTCCCACATCCCCTGGGAAAGTATTTTACTGTCTAATACAGTGGTTCTTAACCTTTTAGACTGAAAGCACTTCTCATTAGACTCAAGACACCCCTTGAAAAATGTCAGTTCTTACCTTTCATTCACTTCTTGAATACATAAAAATAATAGAGTAATTCTTCTCTTTGAAAGAACTCAGAAAGACCACCACAGGTCATAATGTTTTTAACACTATGGATTCCTATTTGAAATCTTTGGGCTCATAGGTAACTGGTGACTGTTGGGGGGCGGGGAATGACACAATTTAAAGCTTCTGGTTGTATGTAGCAGGGTTCAAGGCAGATACTCTGGTGTGCCCAGATCAGCCCTGCACCACTGGGGCCATGTGCCAGGCTCTGGCATGCCCAGATCTACCCCACGCCACCAGGGCTGTGCGCCAAGTTCTGCCATCCCTGGACTGCTCCTGTGCCATCAGGGGGCCCCCAATAGTGCAGGGCCAGTTTGGGCTTGCCAGAGCTCAGCTCCCAACCCCAATGGCTCAGGGATGGTCCCTAAGCCCTGGCCTCCAACCCACACCCTGTCCCATAGACTTACCTGCAAATGCAGCTCTTGAGTCCTGCCTCAGGTAGAATGGAAAGTGCAGCTGCTGGAGCTGCTCCCACCACCCTGCCTATACTTCCGGGCATGTGTGTGTGTGCATGCATGCACATGCATATAGCAACCCCTGCCTTGCAGCCCAGATTTTTTTTCCCTTTGCCTCCCTTCCTCCCTTTCTATAAATTTCAGTGTTCATCAATGTTTATTGGTAAAATCGATGAACATTAAATCTGGGGACACAAGTGCCCCCCTGTGCCTCCCTGATGCATCCCCAGTGTGTGGGTTTATCTTGCAAATCATGTTCACATACCTAACAGTGCTAACATCGCATATGGAAGTACTAAATGACGGCTCAGTAACAGCCCATACTGCACCAGGCTGGCAGTTCATGGTTATTTTTAGCTCGTATGTCACTGTAGCAATGCACTATAATGAGGGAGGGCATCACAGTTTGTGCCTACCATCACTACGTCACTGTAGCACGTTGCTTCAGTGACATAGCATCACATGTAGATGTGCCCAGTGGGATACAATGGATTCCCCAGTTCAATATCATTGTATTTATCATAGCCTTCGTTTGTGATGATTCAGTCAATTTTTCAGTTTAGGAAATTCAGTTTAGCTCCAACGCTAATTTGAACAGTTTTTTGAGGCAAGACTAAGAGAGAAAAAATTTCATTCCCTGACTAATATCCAAACATATTATATTTTGTACGTGCCATTTTCTCTGAAATGTAATTATACCACAGCAGACAATCATGTTTGTGTAGAAAAGTTTATTTCTTTATGGCAATAGCTTAGCAGAGCATATGAACACTTGCCAAATTTTAAGCACAAGCTTGAACTCTACTGACTCCATTGTGACTTAAGCATGTACTTATATATTTTGTTGAATATAATATGAGGGGAAAAGGAGTCCAGGAGAGTTGGTTGTATTTTAAAGAAACCTTACTGAGGGCACAGAAATGAACCATTGCAATGTGTAGGAAGACTAGCAAGTATGGCAGAAGACAAGCTTGGCTTAGCAAGGAACTTTTCAGTGAGTTAAAACACAAAAAAGAAGTTTACAAGAAGTGGCAACTTGGACAAATGACTGAGGAGGAGTATCAGAGTAATACTCAGGCATGCAGGGGTGAAATCAAGAAGGCCAAAATGCAACTGGGGTTGCAGCTAGTAAGGGACGTGAAGGGTAAATAGAAGGGTTTCTATAAGTATGTCAACAACAAGAGGAAGATCAGGGAAAGTGTGGGTCCTTTACTAAATGGAGGCAACCTAGTGACAGATGTTGCAGAAAAGCCTGAACTACTCAATGAATTTCTTACCTCAGTCTTTACAGGCAAGGTCACCTCTTGACTAGTGTAGCTGGCAGCACAATTTGGGGAGGAGGTAAACAGCCAACTGTGGTGAAAGAACAGGTTAGGGCCTATTTAGAAAAGCTGGATGTGTACAAGTCCATGGGGCTGGATGCAATGTACCCAAGTGTGCTGATGGAATTGGCTGATGTGATTGCAGAGCAACTGGCCATTATCTTTGAAAACTTGTGGTGATTGGGAAGAAGTCCCAAACAATTGGAGAAGGGCAAATATGGTGCCCATATTTAAGAAAGGGAAGAAGGTGGATCCAAGGAACTACAGATTGGTCAGTCTCACCTCAGTCTGTGGAAAAAATCATGGAGCAGATCCTCAAGGAATCCATTTCTAAGCACTTGGAGGAAAAGGTGGTGATTAGGAACAGTCAGCGTGGGTTCATGCCTGACCAACCTGACTGGCTTCTATGATGAGATGACTAGCTCTGGAGATGTGGGGAGAGCAGTGGACCTGATATACCTTGAATTTAGCAAGGTTTATGATATGGTCTCCCAAAACATTCTTGCAAGCAAGCTAAGAAAGTATGGGCTGGATGAATGGACTATAAGGTGGATGAAAAACTGGCTGGATTGTTTTATTTAAAGGGTAGTAATCAATGGCTTGCTGTCTAGTTGGCAGTCAATATCAAGTGGAGTTCTCCAGGGGTCATTCCTGGGGCTAGTTTTGTTCAATATCTTCAGTGATCTGGAAGATGGGATGAAGTGCATCATCAGTAAGCTTGCAGATGACACCAAGCTGGGGGGAGTAGTAGATATGCTGGAGGACAGGACTAAGATTCAGAGAGACCTCAACGAATTGGAGGATTTAACCAACAGAAATCTCATGAGATTCATTAAGGGCAAATGCAAAGTCCTGTACTTAGGATGGAACAATCCCATGCACTGGTACAGGCTGAGGGCTGACCGGCTTAGCAGCTGCTGTGCAAAAAAGGGACCTGGGAGTTATAGCGGACAATAAGTTGAATATGAGCCAGCAGTGCACCCTTGTTGCAAAGAAAACTAATGGCATGCTGGGCTGTATTAGTAGGAACATTACCAGCAGATCGAGGGAAGTGATTCTTCCCTTTTGTTTGGCACTGGTGAGGCCCCACATCTGGAGTATTATTTCCAGGTTTGGGACCCCCACTATAGAAAGGAAATTTGAGAGAGTCCAGCAGAGGGCAATGAAAATGGCTCAGGGACTGCGACACATGACTTATGAGGACAGGATGAGGGAACTGGGTTTATTTAGTGTGGAGCAGAGAAGACCTAGGAAGGGTTTGATAGCAGCCTTCAACTACCTGAAGTGGGGTTCCAAAGAGGATGGAGCAAGACTGTTCTCACTGGTGGCAGATGACAGGACAAGAATCCATGGTCTCACGTTGCAGCAAGGGAAGTTTAGGTTAGATATTAGGAAAAACTTTCTCACTAGGAGGGTAGTAAAACAGTGGAACAGGTTACCCAGGGAGGTTGTAGAAAGTCCATTCTTGGAGGTTCTTAAGACCTGGGTAGACAAAGCCTTGGCTAGGATGATCTAGTTGGAGCTGGTCCTGCTTTGAGCAGGGGGCTGGACTAGATGACCTTCTGAGCTCCCTTCCAGCCCTAATTTTCTATGATTCTATGATTTTATGAGAGGCTAAAACCTAAGATTAGATTAATTACTTTGTAGGTATTTAGTAACCAGTTTGCCATTATGTCTCCAGTTTTCTGTGATTTTCTGAATAATTGTCAATGGCACCTTAAATTCATTAGTTAAATTCCTTTGAGTATCATACCACCTAGAGTGGCTGATTTTGTTGCGTTATACTTTATTACTGGCAATGTATCAAAAGTTATTTTCTGGGTCCTTCTAATTTCTAAACTGTTCAAGCAACCTGTTTTTAAATTACTATATTAAGGAAAGAAGTTTCATTTTAAAGGAATATCATATCTCTGACATTTTTTAGTTGTCATCAATTGAATCTTCTCTTAATTCATGAAGGAACCTAATAACTTTCTAGTGGTTATTTTCCTTCTAGTATAGTTGTAAAATGATATTTCCTTCAGATTTAAGGGGAGCTGTCGATGTGAAGCATTCTAAATTGACTAACTTAGAAAATCTAGTTTTTGATAAAGCATTCCTTCAGTTAATTAGCCAGATTATTTTCTCCTTCTATATACTTAGGCACATGAGTATCATCAGTGATACCTAAGTGTATCCAAGTTTGGACTTTTACGCAGTGTGAGTACACTCCTGGAAAAGACTGAGCACCCTTTCTCTCTGCTGAAGACGATGGGAGTAAAATGTGCTTAGCACCTGGAAAGATGGGCAGTTAGGTCAGAAAATGGAAAAGAGGGAAAATATTCTTTTCCCTTTTCTATTTATGTCTTTTAGATATTGTTATCTGAGGTTTCATTTGTAATTACAGTGGATCAACAGTTTTAGACAGCAATAAGAGTTATAAATTGATAACATCCCTCATGCTTTTATTTATTCTGCCTTTTGATGTCCTAATTTTGTCTCAGCAAGGCTTAACCAACGATGTATATTCTTTTCTTCCTGCTTCCTTCTTCCTCCCGGTAGTGTAACTAGGGATGGGTGAGAGGGGTACCTGCTCTGGGCGCCAAGTTAGGAGGGGCACCAGAATCACCCCTTGCCCCCACAGAGTCCACACCCTGGCAACATGTCCATGCCAGGAACTCCAAAACAGTCCAGACTGTGTAGGAATTTCTAGCATGGGTAAGACTGCAGCCCACTGTTCACTCCCACTGTCAGAACCTGTGCTCCTCACACTCTCAGAACTGCATGTCCATCCACCCTAACTCTCCCACAGGGTTTGCACTGGATGCCAACCCTGCTTGTTATGCAACTGCCTCTTCCATTTCCATAACAGGTTGGTTGGTCTTCCTTCCTTCCTTCCTTTCTTCCTATTAGGAAATTTGAGTACAGTCTCCCATTTCACCCTATTCATTATTCATGTAATTCCTCAAAAAAATTCTGCCTCTGAATTTACTATCTTATTATATAAATGGATTCTGTGAATCCAACTTTTATAAAATCAGATTTAAATAGCTCGTGGACGTCTTCCAACTTTTCCTTTTATTCTCATCTGGTTTATATTGCTTTCTTTCCTCAAAGTTGTTGTTTAAATTGACTGATGCAGAACAGCTGCTATATTCTGACCCAGTAGTGGCAATATTTCTGTCATTGATGAAATGATCTGTAACTACTGTACACTATTGTCTACAAAACATTTTAAGATTCTTAAGGAGAAAAAGTTACTATTTACATGTAAAGCTTTAACAATATTCCTTCAGCTGATCTACAATCTGTGCTCCTTGCCCTGTGTTAGGTACATGAATGCACTGGAGTCTAGAATCACATATTTCTCTGAAAAACTCAAATTCCAAGAAATTTTAAGGAGCCCGGATCAGTTAAGGAAAATGATGAAAAATCCAAATCGGAAAAGCAATGGTAAGAGGAGGTGAAAGTTATGTTCTGGGTTATTTTTTGAAGAAAGCTTCTTGGTTTATGTTTCAGGGAAAGTTCCCCTACGTATATCACAGACAGAATGTACACACTTCTATTTTAGAGAGGTAAGTTAGCCAAGTTAGACTAAAGCCAGACAGAAGGTTGGGCAAGATGGTACCATTAGGGCCCTTCTGTGTGTTACACTTATATATCGCAATTAAGGGTTAATCGTGGCATACATGGGCAGGGTGCTACATTATATGTGGAAAATTTTTATGGCTGGTTTGGTATGGTGCCTTAAATTGAACATCTGGCATGTCCAGGATTGTCTAGTTGTCCAGTTGATTTTAGGCCCTGGCCCCAGGTCTGCTTTGGTTCATGCCAGGCTGTGGGCACCCGGCTTTTAACTTGCTGGTGCAGACAGAGTCTGTGATCATGATCCAGGGCTTCCCCAGCACTGGCAAGTAGAAACACTGTGATTTGGATCGGATCCCCCATCCCAAAATTACATCTTCTGCCGTACATGTGCAGCATGGTAAGAGGTGCAGTTGTTGGGATCAGGGCTCAGATAACCATGGTAACTTTAAATTAACATGTGCTGGGGGTCTTAGTGTATGAATCAGTTAATTGTACCATCTTGCCCTACCTTCTATCTGACTTCTATGTCAGTGAGTGTGGAAAGAGAACACAGAACTCTTGCTTCCCTCACTTCACAGACAAGATATGTCAGAATATTTGGCTTGAGGAGGACTTCTGGGATGGGTTATCCTTTGTAGACATGATAACATCTTCCTACAAGGCCTGTCTTGTAAAGAATTTGTTGCCCTGGGGGGTCAGGCCAAGTCTCAGGATCTCAGTATTGCGCTGTTAGACAGGAGGGTGAGACACAATTGCACATATACAAAACACACACAAATCAATTAGGTGCATACACACACACACTACCAGCTCAGGCACATACACATCCAAACCAGCCTAGGCACATGCATACTTATCACCAATTCAAGCACATACGCTATACACCCCAAAAGTTAGACACAGATCGCTAATTCGTATATCATGCACACAATGCCATATCTATCTATGTATCTATCTATACACATGCACTAACAACTCAGATACACACACTTTCAAAATAACCAGTCTAGGTTCATGCACACCTATCACCAGTTTAAGCCCATACACGCTACACACACCAAATTTAGACAGAATCAGTTACCAGTTACCAACACCTGCACATCCAATACACATATGTGGATTACTAATTCATATACCACACACACACACAATGATATCGATATATGTATATATATGTGTATTCACTAATTTACACACATACCACTCACCTACACATACACACAAGTGAGTTCCTAAATTGGATATTGTGATATGTATGTATGTATGTATGTATGTGCTTGGTGTATTTGGGATACCTGGGGAAAGGTTAAGGTAAGAAAGTAGAAGTGTAAGGAGTTAAAATTGCTGGAAATTAAAGTCACCGGGACCGGGATTAGAACCAGTAGACTAGAGGGGCCTGGGCTGAAGAACTGAGGCTCGGGGGTAACTTTAGGTTAATTGATCTTAACTGATTAAAAGACAATGCCCAAAGCCTGCAGAACAGGGAAGCATGCCAGCACAGAGTCTGGGACTGGAGCCAGAG